AAGGGCTTTATAGGATTTACTGTGTAGCGTGTAGTGCCACTAACAGCCATGAAGTGAAGGATCAATTTTATCTGAGGGAACTCCAGAGAAACACCGCTTTTTGCAAGGGATCTTTAAAGTCCACCTGAACAGACAGGAACTCGATTTAGCATCTCATTCAAAGGATAACACCTCCAATAATGCAACTGCTTTGGAGTGTCAGCCTCGACTATGAGCCCAAAGTCCCAATAAGGGAGTTGAACACCAACTGATTCAGTGCCTTCTGATTCAGAAACAAGAACACAAGGGAAACACTTCAGTGAGAAACTCTTAAGTCCAAAAAGAGCCAGAGAAACTAGTCAATTGGTAGCAGTATCGAGCTTAAATGTGAGTGATAGAATTATCAGATGAGAATGAAATGGAGCTGTAAGCTGATATAAACATAAAAATATTTCAACCCTGAATGTTTCATATTTGACCTAAGTTGGCCCCTATATGGCTGTTGTGGTACCGAAGCAGATATAGCCTTCAATAGCTTAACAATTAAAATGTTATGACCTCAATCATTATAAAAGGCCCGACGTGAATGTAATCTTCTTGTTGTTATAGCTTGGCATTGCACCACAGTTTCTGCTCCCCTATTTAGACCCTCATACATGCATTCATAACATCCAGGATTGACTATGCAAACTCCTTGCTTGTTGGAGTCGAAACCTTGGGCAAGTTTCCTTACTCCACACATCTAATAATAATCCCTCCAAAAACAAAACAATAATAAATTGTTCATTATCAATCCACGACTGTTCGTGGGACATTGCTGTGCATAATTGGCTGCCGCGTTCACCCACAAATATACAGTCAATTCATTTTACAGTATATTCTGTGAAGCGCTTTGAGACGTCGAGAAGACATGAAAAGCGCCATATCAAATGCAAGGATTATTATAATCTCCAATCCTCCCTCCATAGTCTGCAGAACATCCGGAACTCGGCAGCCCGTGTCCTCTCCCACACCAGGCTCCGTGATCCGATGACCCCCTTCCTCGCCCGACTACACTGGTTTTCCATCACTCAGAGGATACAGTTCAAGATCCTGGTCCTCACCTTCAAAGCCCTCCATAGTCTTGCTCCTTCTACCTCTGCGACCTCCTACCCCCTATCAATTTGCGCGCTCCGGCCTGCTTCACTTCACGTTCCCCTGCATCGCTCGCCCCACCATTGGCCTTCAGCCACTCTGTCCCCACCCTCTGAACTCCATCCCGCAGTCCCTCCGCCTTGCCCTCTCCCTTGCTTCCTTTAAGACCCATCTCAAGACCCTCCTCTTCGACTGTGCTTTTGATCACCCTCTTTCACCCTGTGCCCTCCACCCTGCCCGATCCCGACCCTCAGGTTCGAAACACTGATTGTCCAGTGCCTTGGGACGTCCTCCTGACATGAAAGGCACTACACAAATGTAATTTTGTTGTTGTTATATCCCATCATTATTTGTCCTCAGCAGTTATGTCGTGCTAACTCTGCATGCCAAAGCCATAATGGGTAGGGTAGCGTAGGTGGAGAAGCAGTGGGAAACTTGCCAAACAGTGCTTTCAATGACAATTCATGCGATTTTAGTTGATTGATCTCCAGTATGATAGTACCAATGCACTAGTCCCAAAACCTTGGCACTCGCCAACCTGCGCCTAATAATCTCTGGAATTAGGGAAGCAGGGTTCATTCCTCCAGGGAGAAAGTGCAAATTCTATATATAGAAATTTCCGTGTGTAGATGGCATACGTATGTGGAACCCTCATTCTGACTTGAATACTCTTAAATACGGAGATGCTTTCTGCATGTGCCAGACACTCGGAAAAGCATTCTCAGAAATAAGATTTTTCTTTTAAATATATTTGGGGCACATTGGGGCCTTTGTTATTGTGCAATAAAATAAAATATTTTTTTTTTTAAAAATAAATTTAAAAAATGTTATTTTGCGATAGTGTTGATATGGGGACAGTTTCTAAGAGATCACAAATATCGTAGAGATTGTGAATTCATCAGGACTGAGGCTTGACCCAAATGTGAACCGCACAGGGAAGCACCATCATTGCACTCCTGTTGGGAGTCCCAGACCTGACGTAAAGTGAGTTGGAATGCAGGGTGTTTATTGCATGATTATGCAAGAAATCGATGAAGGGGAGGGGAAAGGGTCAGGAAGCTATGGCTAATGGTGGCTGGGATAACCCAGTGACAATGGCATCACTTTAAAATGTCTCGAAGACATGATAAGGCGCTATTTCAAAAGCAAGGATTATATTATATATACTTAAACATGGATTGATGCAAATATGTCAGCAGAAAGTAACTGAATTACCAGTACAACGAAAGCCAAGCAACTCTCTGCTTTCTCAAAAACACAAAGTGGTAAAAACTTTGTTTAAACTTGCAGGTAAGATCTACCTCAAGTGAGAATTCTCGCTGTGAGTGGCACAATTAAAAATACGTGCGCCACGGCAGACACACAAGAAAAAGAACCGAGAAAGAAGTCCAAGCGATTGTGAAAGAGAGGAATGGTTTGACTGACCCGAGCCCATTCCCCAAGAATCTTAAAGGGACTTGCACAGAGTGACTGGCCACAAGCTACATTGAGAATTCATATTCAAAGAGTGAGCAGAACCTATTTTATGCACTTAACACCACTTACAACTAACTCGCAATGGGTAACATGGTCACTTGGATGGAAAATTAGGGACACGGGTGTGCTATGAGTGAAGTCCAAATAAGATGAGGCTTAAGAGTTATGACGGGAAAAAAGAATGTGAGAATTAGTAGATTTAAGACTTTAAAAGGGAAATAAGGGGTGAGCGGATGGGGCCCAAATAATGACTTGGATTGAGAGGGTGAGGAAACTGTACTGGATTGCTGGTTGGCCTATTGGATGGATGCCTCTGGTGGGAAGATCCAGGCAATGTGCTTGTGGTACAGACAGTGTGAACAGCATGTGCTCCATCAACCCAACTTTTACAGTTGCTCATAGTTTGAAGGAATTTATCCAAAATTGGCCCTGCAATGTAGGGATGAGTTGACAAACTGCACCACCGAATGCTAAAGAAAAGCACTTGAATTGTGTAGCCCCTCATCATTCTGAAATATCTCAAAACACTTGACACATAATTGCTATTTAGAGTAGTGACTGGTTTTGTTGGCAGGCACCATTTTTCACTCAGGATGGTCCCACAAGCAGCCATGATACCTTGGGCAAGTTTCCTTACTCCACACGCCAAATAATAATCCCTCCAAAAAAACAAAACAATAATAAATTGGTCATTTTCAATCCATGACTGTTTGTGGGACATTGCTGTGCGCAATTGGCTGCCGCGTTCACCCACAAATATATAGTCAATTCACTTTACAGTGTGTTCTGTGAAGCGCTTTGGGACGTCTAGAAGACATGAAAAGCGCTTTTTCAAATGCAAGGATTATTATTATTATTATGATGTGAATAATTAATTTTATCTGGAGAATTGTTAGACCACTAGAAGAAACTCTCTTTTCAAATAATATCATGGGATCTTTCAGGTTACCTGAAGAACAATCAATAGTGGTAGATATCAACACATAAGAATGCCATAATTCAGTCAGAGATGTTATGCAAAACCCAAATGAAGATAAGAAGTGTTCCCAACAGAAGATGGAGTTAGCTATTATTTTCTTCCCTGCCCCTACTCCACCAGACACAGCTATGTTTTATGCAGAGAGGCTAGGGAAAGGGGGAGGAAATAGCTTCAAAAAGAGACAGAAATTACAATACATAAATTCCCCAATTCCAGTCACTTTACTGTTATGCAGATATGTTTTTTTTATTAACAATATCCCAAACTATATCAGTTTGGCTCCATGAATAGAACTCTCACCTCTGAGTCCTAATGGTTGCAGATTCAAGCCCCACGTCAGAACTAAAGCTTATAATCTCCACTGACAGTAAAGGTTTAAATTTAGACCTTCCTCTTTAGCCATGCCATCTCCCACCCTCCCACCCCCACTCCTCTTGATTCCAATACCCAGCTTGGGTACAAACCCTTAACTGCCCAGTGCCTTGGGACGTCCTTCCAACGTGAAAGGCACCGTATAAGTGTAATTTGTTGTTCTTGTTGACTCCACTGCCATCCTTCAAATGAAATCTAAACCAATGTTCTGTCTGGTGTCCCAGTGGATGTTAACGATTCCAAAGCATTTCAAAGAATGGGAATTTCTCCCCGTCCTGGTTAATATTTCCTCCAGCAATGCACTGGAAGTTCTATCGTGTTTCCTTCCTCGTTAGAAGTTCAAATTTGCCATTTTATCAATCCTTCTAAAAATCCCACGAGGCGAAGCGTCCAAAGGCGCTTTGTCAAATGCCAGGAGTTGCATTTTTCTCCAGACACACACACAAAAAAAAGAAGGCAGCGAGACCGCCCTCTGGACCCTTTTAAGAAATCACTGGAGAAAACCACCATTTATATCAGAAGCAGCAAACCTCGACAATAAATAAATACAGTGCTTCCCACTCAGTGACAACCCACCCACCCCATCCCGCCTGGTCTGGACTATTTTTAGACGTTTCTATTTATTCTCCCAGTATCTGGTGCACTGGGGAATTTCTGGAGTGGTGGTGGTGGTGGTCCTTGTGCCAACGAAATGCCCTTAAAATAACCACCGAGGGAGGGCAGGCAGATGCGTTATACACACTGCAGCTTTAAACCCCAAAATGAGTGGAAATTAACGATTCAAACACACACACACACACACACAACACACACAGAGAGAGAGCCCCTCTGAGCTGTGCTGCCTTTGCGAGCTTCGGTTCCCGCAATAACAATTGCAATTACAACATAATATGATCATAAATAACAACCCGAGGAGACAACACCACAGCCCCCTTGAACCTGGCGTTTCCATCACAGCTGCTGCGATCCTATCAGCAGGACCTCACGGTGCAACCCGGGCAGAGCAGAAATAATAATAAAAAGGTGGGGAGGGGAGGGGAGGAGAGGGACATGGACTGACCTGGTTCGTATTTGAGGTAGAGGATGGACACGATGTAATACGCCAAGTCAAACAGCGGGAACATGGACATCTTTGAGCAGTACAGAGGCACATCGCTCAGGTTCAGCAGAGCCAGGACATCCATACTGATGGGGTGGTGGGGGGGTGGACCTGTTCCTCCTGCGTCGCTGCTCAAAGATGTGACTGGTGTTGCTGCTCAGATCGCTCTGAGAGGTCTTGTCTCTCTCTCTCACTCTCTCTCTCTCCCTCCCCCCCCCACCTCTCTCTCTTTCTCTCTCTCTCTCTCTCTCTCTCTCTTTCTGTCTCTCCGCCTGCCCTGCTTTAACCAGGCTGTTAGGCTGACAGTGGGGTAAAGCTACTCCCAACTCATCCCTTGGGGGGTGATCACAAATAGCCCCCTGACGTCAAGCGCATAACACATAATTGCACCGCTAACGTCTGAGCAAAGACACCTCAGAGCCCCTAATCCTGAAACTGGACACCGCACATCCTCTGCATTTTACGTAAATAAGCTGCAGGCCCTAATAGGGCGAGGCTGGGAGAGCACTCACTCACTCACACTCACTCTCACTCACTCACTCTCACACTCCACTCTCTCTCACTCACACACACACTCACTCAATCTGACTCTCACACTCTCACTCCACTCTCTCACTCACTCACTCTCTCACTCACTCTCACACTCACTCTCACACACTCTCTCACTTACACACTCACTCTCACTCACACACTCACTCTCACTCACACACTCTCTCTCACTTACACACTCACTCTCACTCACACACTCACTCACTCACTCCCCAATGATGCCGACGCCTGAGAAAGCCACACTGGCCCCCAGTTCCGCATTTCAGGGGATCGTTTGAGTTGAGTGTGGAAGAGAGAGCGAGAGAGAGAGAGAGAAGAGAGAAGAGAGAGGGAGGGAGAGGAGTGACCGGTGCGAATCCAGAGAGTAGGGTCCAATCGTGAGTGGTTCTAAAACGGTCAAAATCCAAACGTCGCCACTTTTCGTTGCGTTCTCAGCTTTTCACGTTCGTTGTGAAGGTCCACTTTAAAAAGACTCCAGAATTGGAAGTCGCTGATGGACGGATTGCACACCAGACCCCCCCTCCCCCCCCACCCCCCACCCTGGATACTGGAAACTCCAACCCACCCAAGAAGCAAAACCCTTCTGCAGGACGACACAAGATCAGCATAGAGTTGGAGCCACCAAGCTCAAGCTCCATTGCTTTCTGTTGATTGCTCTCTCGACCCCATCCCTACCCCTCTCCTTTCCTCCCAGCTCCACCTCCTTATCCCTCTACTCATAGACATCATAAACCTATCCGCTGATACCCTTCCCACCCCTTTAAAAACGGCCGTCATCACTCACATCCGAAAAAAACCCTCCCTGGACCCATTCCTACTCTCCCAATTACTGTCCCATCTCCAACCTCCTTTTCCTCTCCAAGGTCCTGGAATGAGTGATTGCTTCCCAGCTTCGCTCCCTCCTCTCCCGCGACCCCCTTCATGAACCCCTCCAATCGGGTCTCCGTGCCGCCCACAGCACAGAAACGGCCTGGGCAAAGTGACAAATGACATTTTGTCCGTCTACGACCAGGACTTCTGCCTTCTCGTCCTCTTTGACCTCTCTGCTCCCTTCAACACCATTGACCATTTTTATCCTCTTCCAACACCTCTCCTCTCACCTCAACCTTCACGGCTCTGTCCTTGAATGGTTCAGATCGTACCTCTCACACTACCTCCACTTCATCTCCACAAACGGTTTCTCCTCTAGCCCTCACACTGTCTCATGCGGCGTTCCTCAGGGCTCTGTCCTTGGTCCCCTCCTCTGTAACAATTATATGCTCCCTCTTGGTGATGTCATCCGCAGACATGGGGTCATCTGCCACATGTATACATGGATGACACCCAACTGTACCTCTCTGCCTCCACCCTTGTCTCCAGAATGTCTGTCAGACATCAAGTCCTGGATGAGAGCTAATTTTCTTCAGTTGAACGTCAACAAGACTGAGGCTCTCCTAATTGGATCCCGTCAGTGCCTCTACACCTCAGGCGCTGATAGCATTACCATTCATGGTTACACACTCCACCTTACTAAACCAGTCCGGAACCTTAGCATCTTGTTTGACCATCAACGATCCTTTCTACCCCACATCTGTGCCATGACCCGCTCTGCCTTCCCCCACTTCCGCAACATCGCCCGACTCCGCCACTGTCTCACACTGCAGGCCACTGAAACCCTCATACATGCAATCATAACATCTAGATTTGACGACGCAAACTCCTTGTTTGTCGGCCTCCCCAACTCCTCCCTCCATAGGCTGCAGATCATCCTGAACTCTGCAGCCTATATCCTCTACCGCACCAGGCTCAATGACCCTATCACCCCCACCCTTGTCTGACTTCACTGGCTTCCCCATCATACAAACGATACAGTTCAAGATCCTGGTTCTCACCTTCAAAGCCCTCCATGGCTCCCTCCTCTGCGGCCTGCTTCACATCCTCTGCCTCACCCGCCCCACAATTGTGGCAGGCAGACCTTCAGCCACTCTGCCCCCACCCTCTGTAACTCCATCCCGCAGTCCCTCTGCCTCGCCAACTCCTTTGTTTCCTTCAAGATCCGCCTCTTCAACTGTGCCTTCGATCAACCTCCCTCCACGCTGCCTAATCCCAACCCCCAGCTCAGGTCCGAAACACTGATTGTCCAGTGCCTTGGGATGTCCTCCCGACGTGAAAGGCACTATACAAATGTAATTTTGTTGTCGTCGTTGTAGAGTTGTGTTAATAATAATAATCCTTTGATTTGATATAGCGCTTTATCATGTTGTTGATACATTTCAAAGCTTCACAGAATTTATTGTAAAGTGTATTTTGTGGTATATGTAATATATGTGGAGTCCTGTAGCTCAGTGGTTAGAGCACTCGCTTTGCAAGTGAGAGACCTGAGTTCAATTCCAGGCAGAGGGCGAAACCTTGGGCAAGTTTCCTTACTCCACACGCCTACTAATAATCCCTCCAAAAACAAAAAAAACAATAATAAATTGGTCATTTTCAATCTACGACTGTTTGTGGGACATTGCTGTGCGCAATTGGCTGCTGCGTTCGCCCACAAATATACAGTCAATTCACTTTACAGTCTATTCTGTGAAGCGCTTTGGGACGTCCTCCCGACGTGAAAAGCGCTATATCAAATGCAAGGATTATTATTATTATTATTATATATAAAATTATGGGTGACAAATACAGTGTCAAGTTTACGAGTTGGAAATGTTCTGCTCCACATTTGGTCAATGAGATTAAGCCTCACCAACCAGCAGGTCCGGGTTAATACAGCACAATGCCGGGTTGCATCTGTAAGTGCTACATTTATTTCCACTACCCTTTTCTCTGGAAGGTAGTTCCTCACGGGTGGCTGTGTATCCACCTACTAGGGTCCACGTATGCCTCATCTGAGTGGCTGTTACTCATGTGTAAATCTTCTCAGGGGGTATGGTAGTCTGTTTAGCCATAGGGGTGAGGAGCTTGCACCCAAGTCTGCTTTCATTCCCAATTTCCCCCTCTCACACAACACCTTGACACTTGTACATTGTCTTTCAACAACAACAACTTGAACTCATATAGTGCCCTCCATGCAGGGTAGCGTCTCAGAGAAGAGGAAGGTTTTCAGGTGGGGCTTGAAAGAGAGGAAAGACGGGGCAAGGTGGAGAGATTGAGGGAGAGTGTTCCAGAGTTTCGGGGTTTAGTGGCTGAAAGCGCGACCTCCGATGGTGGGGTGGAGAGTGTGAAGGATGAGCAGGAGGCTGGTTCCAGTTGAGAGGCGCCGGATGATGGATTGGGGAGTGAGGAGGTCGGAGGTAGGGAGGTGCCATAGAGTGAAAGCATTTGAACACTCGTGTGAGGATCTTGAAGTCAATCTGTTCGGTGATGGGGAGCCCCTGGAGTATGGCCAGAACTGGTGAGATGTGGGTACGGAGTTTGGTCCGGGTCAGTCTGAGGGCGGCAGAGGCTGAATGAGCTGATCTTTTGAATAGTGGAGTTAGGGAGACCAGCGAGGGGTGCGTTTGAGTAATCCAGGCGGGAGGTGACAAATGCACGCACGAGGGTTTCGGCTGCATTTGGAGTCAGGTGCGGTTCGGAGTCGGGCAATGTGGCGGCGGTGGAAGAAGGCGGTCCTGGTCAGGGACCGGATGGGTGGTGGGTGGGGGAGGAAGGACATCCGGGGGGGGGGGGGGGTCGAACCGGACGCCTGGGTACAACAACGTTTGAAACTGTTTAGGAGAGACATTGCAGAATAGCATGTGTTTGGGAGGGGCAGCGATAAGATAAAATAGATCAATTTTTAGAAGAGTTTTGAAGACGGTGAGATTTTGGGAATGGACATAGTAGGCGAGAGCTCTCTTCCAGCATGTTGGAATAACTTGTTGTTTCACGTGTGTGTGTGTGTGTGTGTGCAGTGGGTCAGGTCAATGTCTGGGACTTCACAACTCCTGTCGCACGAGCTCCGGGTATGAATGGGCCGGATGACGTCACGGGGGAAACCTCAAGTCGTCCGTTCCCGCCAGAACTCGGCGCACGCGCAGTCCCCGAAAACCCTCCGCGCACCCGCTTGCGTGTGACGTCGCTGTCGGTCGCACAAACCTGCTGCGCAAGGCTCCGCCCCCCGCCGCCCCGCCCCCTCCGGGACGGCGAGCTGTGATTGGGCGGCCGGCCGGCTGCTGAGGTTTGGTTGCGCAGGGGAGGGCGGAGCTGGAGCTGTGGCTGCGGGGAAGGAAGATGTTGGGCGATTTGCTGCTGTTCGGGTAATGGCGCTTTGTGGCGGTCTTTACGGTGCTGTGTCCCGGGAGGGAGGCGGAGTTGTGGAGGGGATCGGTGCAGCGGGAGCCGTCACATTCGGCTCGACGCCTGGTGACTCCGGCCAGGCCTCGTCTCATCCCCGCGCCGCAGCCAGGCCCGAGCCCGGGCCCTCTCTGCAGGGCCTTCCCCCCCCCCGCCCCGCCCTCCCCGGATGTTTTTAATTGGTCAGTCAGGCGCTTGTGAGTAACAACAACAACAACAACAAGATTCCATTTATAGAGCGCCTTTCACGTCAGGAGGACGTCCCAAGGCGCTGCACAGTTGGGTCATGACCCGAGCAGGGGGGAAATGGTCAGGGTGAGGGGAGGGAAGGGAGGGAGCGAGGAGGAGGAAGAGAGTCGAGAGGGGAGCTGAAGGCACGGTCAAAGAGAAAGGTTTTGAGACCGGCCTTGAAGGAGGAAAGGGAGGAAGCAAGGCGAAGGCACTGGGGGATGGAGTTCCAGAGCCTCGGGGCTGAGAGGCTGAAGGCCCGACCACCGATAGTAGGGCGGTTGGGGCGGGGGACGTGGAGCAGACCGGAGCCAGAGGAACGGAGGGTACGGGCAGGTAGGTAGGGGGATAGTAGGTTGGAGAGGTAGGAGGGAGCAAGGCCGTGAATGGCCTTGTAGGTGAGGATGAGGATCTTGAAATCAATCCTCTGGGGGATGGGGAGCCAGTGGAGGCGAGCGAGGGTGGGAGTGATGTGGTCCCGAAGCCTGGTGCGGGACAGTACACGAGCTGCAGAGTTCTGAATGACCTGCAGCTTGTGGAGGGAGGTGGCGGGAAGGCCGACGAGGAGAGAGTTCCCATAGTCCAGCCTTGAGGTGACAAAGGCGTGAACCAGGGTTTCAGCAGCGTGAGGGGTGAGGTAGTGCCGTAATCTGGCGATATTCCGGAGGTGATGGAAGGCGGTGCCAGTTGTGGTGCGGATGTGAGGGAGAAAGGACAGCTCAGGGTCGAACAAAACGCCGAGGTTCCTGACTGGCTTTGAGAGGTGGAGAGTGCAGCCTTGGATGCTGATGGTGTCAGCGCCTGAGGTGCGGAGGCGCTGACGTGAGCCAATCAGGAGGGCCTCGGTTTTTTGCACGTTGAGCTGAAGAAAGTTGTCTCTCGTCCAGGACTCGATGTCGGACAGGCAGCTGTCAGGACATCGGTGGTCGTGGAGTTGAGAGTAGAGGAGGAAAGGTAGAGTTGGGTGTCATCCGCATACATGTGGAAGTTAACCCCATGTTTGCGGATGATGTCACCAAGGGGGAGCATATAGAGGGTGAAGAGGAGGGGACCGAGGACAGAGCCCTGAGGGACACCACATGAGACAGTACGGGGGGTGGAGGAGAAGCCATTCGTTGAGACGAAGTGAAGACGGTGAGAAAGGTACGACCTAAACCATTCAAGGACAGTGCCTTTGAGTAAGTACATGGGCGGACGCTGCCCCGTGTCTCGGTGATGACTGTCCCCGGTGGGGCGGGTTCCCGGAGCCGGAGGATGAGGAACCCCGGTCGGCCGCCTCACCGGGTGGAGGGGAGGGGGTGCAGGGCGGGAGGTGAATGCTCCCCGTCCACTCGCGCTCTGGCCTCAGCCTCAGCGCCGCGGCCCTGTCTCTCTGCCGCAGGGACCACAACCTTCCCTTCCCGCTTACGTGGCCGCCGCCACACACCGCGTGCAGCAGAGGAGGCAGTGATGAGGGGCTATGAGCTCTGTCAAACTGTCGAGTCAAACTGGGGCAAACGTTTCCCTGAGGGAGGGTGGGGAGGGGGGCTTTTCTTTTTCGAATTAAATTGCACCTTTTTTTAAAAAAAATCACTCGAATTCGTCAAAACTCGTTCGCGGTTTAGTCGGGAAGGTGAGGAATCCGGTTTCGATGCAGACTGGGGTGGGGGAGAGCAGCTGCTGCACTGGATAAACAGGCAAGAGAGAGAGAGAGAGAGGGGGGGGGGAGAAAAGGTGTGGGTGAGACTATTACTTGGAAATTGTCACTCTGTTTGATTACAAGACGAGTCCTGTAGCTCAGTGGTTAGAGCACTCGCTTTGCAAGTGAGAGACCTGAGTTCAATTCCAGGCAGAGGGCGAAACCTTGAGCAAGTTTCCTTACTCCACACAGAGCCTAATAATAATTCCTCCAAAACAATAATAAATTGGTCATTTTCAATCCACGACTGTCTGTGGGACATTGCTGTGCGCAATTGACTGCCGCGTTCGCCCACAAATATACAGTCAATTCACTTTACAGTGTGTTCTGTGAAGTGCTTTGGGATGTCGAGAAGACGTGAAAAGCGCTATATCAAATGCGAGGATTATTATTATATCTTTTAATCTCTTGCAGTACTTTGCTGATGAATGCAGGAACAGTGCTGAACTTCAAACTGTGAGTATGGATGTCATGGACTGGGTCTGCCGCTGTGTGTTGCAACTTGTCATAGTTATGTTTTTAATGGTTGGGAGATTGAAAAGTTTCCAAGTGGAGGATTTATCAGTGCAGAGCATTTGTACTTTTGTACAATCCCTCGTATTACCTGTTACTGGTCGGGTGATTTTTAACGTCTTGTACCACATTGATTTTTCATTTGAACGGCTTTTTCCACTTGTGTTTCAGAAAGAGAAAAGAATCACACAATTTTGGCGAGGATGGACGTGATGCAACGACAGGTAAAAGCAGACAGTTTTTGTCTCCCTAACAAATCGTGATGTACAAATCTTTTCTCTCATGAAACAGTTATTTGGGAGCATCTGCTAGTCTGAACATTGGATTCCAGTTAGTTGGTGGTTGGAAGACATTGGTTATTTTTAACCTTCAGGAGAGTTGTGTTCAATTTATGCAGCATCTTTCGTTACTTTACTCCCTGTTACTCCAATTGACACTTTCACATTTCTTGTTTGCCACATTGTCAATCTGATTGTGAATGTTAACAGTCACCACAACCCCGCGCCAACGTGACTTTAGATTTAGTTTAGAGATTTGCTGTTGTTATTACAGTAATAATACTGGAAGGAAATAAAAAAAATATTTGTTTGTTTCTGTGGTTCTGTCTGCTGCATCCCCATGTATTGTTTTACTTCAGAAATGTTTGATGAGACGGATTTTTTTTTAAAAAAATGATTAAATGAAACAAATACAAATATTTATGTGAAACAAATACAAATATTTGTGTAATATAAAAAAAACAAACGATGAAGGATGTTTTACAAATGTATCCATTTCTGTTTGAGGCCAAGGATTGTGCTACAGAATTGTGGTTGCTGTAGGCTCACTTGGCCATTATGTGGCATGCAATTGCAATATAATATTTGGGGTTCTTGCTCGAGTCCAAATGGCTTTGACTGAGTCTGACTTGAACCTGTCTGGTTATATGAATATAGGCATGTACAGGACTGGACTGGAAGAGGCAGTTCTGGTGTAAAAATAATAAGTTTTGGAGCAACAAAGAACTCATTGCTCCTTCCCTCCCCTCGATCAAGATCCATCTAAAGACTGTGTCTTTCCCCTCCTTACCCCAAACTCGGATGCCCTGCTACTGTTACTTTGGAAGTAGCGATTGGGAAATAAACTTCCAGCGTCTTTGTGCATGCACAACATCTCTGGCATCATTGTGCCATTTGTGTTCTGCCACAAACACAGAGCGGCATTGGTCACAAGAACCCACCACTCCCCCTTCAGTGTAGGGAAAAAGGTAAAAATGTTGGCTATAGAAAAATAAGTCGACTAAGCTCCTTCTGGCGGCAGCAGTAGATTATCTGAACCCAGGAGGCCTTGGCCCCACCTTCTGATTTTCAGCCCAGTTACCTTAGAGGGCCCCACTGCTATGTCAAATTGAAACTGACCTTTCTTGCCTTAAAGGGTAGAGGCAAAAGATCTGCTGATCTGCTATTGAGGCAGGATTCTACTGATTCTTTACTGTGCCTACAGTTGGATCAGTTTTTCCTTGATGGGACAGAGGGATTCTTTAGGTGCTGTAAATGTAACTGTGGTACTAGAATGTTCTGTGCTCTATCTAATCTGTCAAACTTGTCATCCCGGTTTATAACTCTCAGCAGGTGTATCCTGTGGTATATGATTTCCTACATTAATCTGCTTCAATCTTGTTGAGTGTTTCAGAGATTTCAGATTATACCTGTATCTACATTTAACAGTGGCAGTATCCTTTACTGGGGTATGGTTGCCCTAAAATGGGTCAGTTTCTCCCTCCTATCTCCTATCCAAATGACTGGTGTGGGAAATGGAAATGTCACTGTGCATTAGGGATGTTAATGCTATGTTAATCCAGATACCTGGTGTAACAACTACTCGTTTTCCAGCGCTGCTTCCATTACTGACTGAGGATTTAGACCAAAGCACCATAAGGCACATTTATTTCAAAATGAGATACCTTTCCATTGTAAAAATGTTTAGAGAAATGTTTTTCTTAATTTGTTCGGTCTTGACTCTGCTCTTGGAGGTATTAAATGGTGGAGTCACTTTCTTGTGTACTTTTGTTTATATTTAGGTGATAACATCAGGGAATTCCTGCTGAGTCTGCGCTATTTCCGGATCTTCATTGCCTTGTGGAATGTCTTCATGATGTTTTGTATGATAGTGTAAGTACGAGTGATAAAGGTCTAAGTTGCACTATTTTAAATAACAGTAAGTATTTTCACTGGATCGTGTACCCAGATAAAGTAGCTAATAAATGTGTCCTGGTGTACACTGCTATAATTAGTCCTCGTAACCCTGTTTAACCTGCTCGCTTGGCTTATCATAATCCAATTCTTAAGTCCTGTCTGACCATTGCTGTGAACTATCAACAGCAACTTGCATATATATGGCCCCCTCACGCTGAGTAGTGTCCCAGAGCGCTTAAACGTGTCCCCGTAGTCTTAAACCACATCCCTAGATTGTAAACTATGTGCCAATGTTGTAGTTTTAAAATTGGACCTTTTCTGATCCAGCTATTCCCTGCAATAGCACCTTGGTACATTAATCACAGCAAAACCATCATTAAAGTACGCTCGAGCATTATCATTTGAGGCCCAGTTCTATGGACCAAATTGAGTGATTTTTTTTTCTTCTAGGTTATTTGGATCCTGAAATCTTGTCTTTATGGAAGTGATCCAATATGAGACAAACCCATGGACTTGCATTGTACAGCCTTTTTCCCTTCTCAAATGTAATTACTACATCAGTTTCAGCTTTGAAGCTTGAGCTCACTCTTCCCATATTTGCATATAATGTGCCTGATGTGTGATTACTCTATAGCAAGTGTAAGTCTTCAGATTTGTTCCACGATAGATCCAATTTTCAGAAAGTTTACCCGCAACCCCCCCCATTCTGCACAGTTGGGAGGCAACGTGAGGCAGCAGCATTTCTCTGCATAATTTTTATTTAAAAACTTTTGTTAACCCAGACCTTCAGTGTGCTGCTTTCCAATCGTTCTTATTAAACGCTGTGAAAATCTTTATCGAAGTATATTAAAAATAGAGAATTTTTAAATGGTCAAATTTATTGTGAATGTAACATAATCCATTAGTCTTTTTTTAAAAAAATCTTAACACCTGTTCTAAAAAATTAGTTTTGGTACATATTTTGCTGCTCGCAAATTATAGAACTTCTGACTAATGCAAAAGTAATAGGTGCTTGGCAAGTAGGGAGTTTCAGGAGTCCAGGACATTGTGCAAATTTTAGATATAAAGTGAAGTGGTTTAATGATGTCCCCAGGGTTACTAAAGACATAATAGATTATTAATACTTCCTCTTTTAGTGTCTTTCAATTTAATTTGGGAGGGGAGATGGCAATGTGAGATTATTTAATAACATTATAGTTATTTTATATGAAACTGGAAGACCTCAGTGAAAACAGTTTACATTTTGAGTGCAAAATGTTCACTCATTGGAAAATTAGCCTAGTTTACATCAATGGGCTGTAATCTCTCAGTGATCAATTAATCTGAGAATGAATGAAGCCCATTGCCCGATAATTGGTATCGCACGTTAAGTAGATCCTACCTGACAGCTGTAGTGGTTAATGTTGATGCCAGAGTTAAAATGCCCAAAGTGGGAGAGTAACCATAGGGCTAATCCTTTACTAAATACAACGTGCTACAAGCAGACAATACATGTTTCCTTTGCAATCTAACTAGTACTTTAATACCACTGAGTTTTTAAATGTGTGTCTCAATGGATTATAACGTCTGTAACAACAGAAATTTCCCATGGCCTGTGTTATTTTATATTCCTTAATTGTGTGTGGACAAGCCCATTTAGGGTTTTTGACCAAAAATTAACAACAATGACAGCTGGTTGGATTTTCTTAAGTGGTGAAAACTTTCCTTTTTTTTTCTCAAAGCATTGAATTTGACCCAAGTTAAATAAATGACTTGTCACTTTAGGCTTCACGTTGTAACTGCATCTCATCTGGCTTGATAGCACATTTTAGTTCTACAACCAGGGAATATACAATGTGTTTGTTGAGATCTGATGGATAGCAGTGCACTGTTGGTGTAAAGTCACTCTGGGGTTTGTGAGTGCACGGAGTCCTAACTTTCAGCAATCTCATGGTAGGTAAAGCAATATATCATTGTTGGGCAATCCCTCCTCGGCCTGCCTCCCACCTTTGCAGCCCAGAAATGGTGCAATTTACAGAAATAAATGAAATGATACAGTGAGAAAGCAGAAAGCTATATATTGTAAATATGACTTGCACTTTCAATAGTAACAAAAGCAGGATGCACAAACATGTCATCATTTATTCCACAGAAGCTAATGCGATGAAACTCAAACATGGAATTGGTAATTACCTTTTCAGTTAACACTAATTGCAAAGCTGTTCAACGTACAAAGATGTCAATTTGATTTAAAATCTGCCTTGATTAATTTACAGTAAGCTGCTGAATATATTACTTGGCATAAGCCTGGTTTATATGGCTACTGTTTATATTAATGTTTAAGTCTCCTGCCTGAGCTAATCCTTTTGTTAATGCAGGTTATTGTCTTGATTCCCTCTCGTGTCTGATCCCATAAATTGTAGTTCTTGCAAAAACATTTTTTGTAGATTAAATCTTTACCAGATCTTGAATACTCAATGTTTTGTATCTTATCCAGTGAATTAACATTTATTTTTATTTAAAATGTGTGGGATTTGTTTTCTCTCTCCCTCTGTTTGGGTTCAATTAATAACAGTAATATCTTGCTTACGTTGATGAATTATTAAAATATTACATGTCCAAACTTACTCATCAGCTTTTAAACTGTATGTTCACAGAATGCACATTCACAGAATACACATGGGGGAGGAAGAAAGAAAAATTAAATGGTGCTGTTGCAAAACAATAGTTTACACACTCTGGATTCTGACTAGCAGAATCCAGAGTTTACAGACTACTGTATGACACTGATCACAGTATATTGGTTTAATTTGTGATCCTGTTTTTATTTCTCCATTGTTACTGTGGTACTTGGTTCTGTAGTCTTGAGCTCTTTTCTGTCCAATCTCCCTGGCTGTAGAAAGAAATCTTGACTGTAAAGTTACTGTAAATCCCAGAAAAGAACTCTTGTCTCACCAGGATTTTCGCAGGAGTCTGACTGTCAGTGTTGTTTGGTCACTGCAGTCCAGGGCAAATAAATGGGATTTAGTTATTGTATGTGAATTGAGCAGTTATGATGTAGTCTGTTGAGATATAGACATGAATATCCAGCACTATATGTACTAAAATAACTCTGAGAAGCTGTATCAGTAGGATGATGTAGGGAATGGTCTTAAGAAGTAAAGAACATCTTTGAAAGTTAGGAATGGGGTAGATGTGTTTTTATAATAATAATCCTTGCATTTGATATAGCGCTTTTCACGTCTTCGAGACGTCTCAAAGTGCTTCAAGGAATATACTGTAAAGTGAATTGACTGAATATTTGTGGACGAAACGCGGCAGCCAATTGCGCTCGGCAGTGTCCCACAAACAGTTGTGGATTGAGTGACCAAATTGTTATTGTTTTTTTTTCTTGAGGGATTATTATCAGGCGTGTAGAATAAGGAAACTTGCCCAAGGTTTCACCCTGCCAAGAATCGAACCCAGGTCTCGCTTGCAAAGCTAGTGCTCTAACCACTGAGCTACAGGACTCACGGTCCTGGTTACATCCAACTCATTTGAGACTGGTTCCTCTAATCACTGTATATAAAGCACCTATGGAATGAATTCAGAGCACCTTATCAAATGATTTCTCACCTACTCTTTCCTGCTACCTAATGCAGAGCCCAATCAACAGAAATCAGTGAGGAGAGTGTTACAGAAATACATGGTTGAAGTTTCTCCACTAGAGGTCTCAATTGCAGCTCAAGAACTTGTACATAGTGCAGCTTCATGTATTTAATAAATCCCCAGAGCCCAATTTCTGCCCCTAACAAAGAGTGGGCTGTCAGGGGTTGAATAACTCAATCTCTTCATATTGGCTTCTGTGTTGACCTCAGAGTGCATTTTTTTATCCCTGGGGAGGAACTTACCAGTACACAGTGTTTAACATAAGGATTGTGGTTGACTCTTGCATTTTCAAACACTGCAACATGGAGCATTTGATGCAAATTGACAATACTTAATGCTCAAAGTATAAAACAATTGATATTAATCAAATAATCATGTAAATACTTAATCAAAATATCCTTTGAACTATTACGTAAGCTGAGAAAAATTGACTCCTGAATCTTAAGTACTGTTGATGCAAATCGTCACTGGATTCGGACTGAGATAACCAAGCTCACAGAGGAGTTTGTGTGAGTTGCAAATATTTTGATGGCAGTATCAATTTTACTGCAAGGGGATGCGGTTACAATCTGGCGAACACGAGTTTCTTCTTTTCTGGTCTTCTTTCCTGGGTCTATTCCAACTTCAGGCTAGTTTGTGCTCAATATTTATACATGTGACTAAACAAGTTATTGTGACCTTCAAGACTATCTTGTTTGGCTCCGAAAAAACATTTTCTTGTTTTTACTCCTCCCCGAACAATGACCATCTCATTTGATCATTCTGCAAGGCCACCTAATTATCACACAGACACCACTTCTTTGTCTCATTTCTCACATAACACAGGCCACCTGTTGCACATTTGTTTCCCACATAACTATACCAGACAGAGCAAGGACATTAGATGAAGGAAAGACAGACACTTCATTTCTAGCAAGTAAACAAGTTGCATAAGTAGTCATCAGCAAAGTGCTACTTAAAGGGACAGTCGTTCAAATGTTTTCCATTATAGGCAAAATACACAGCAAAAGTCACTTCATAATATTTCATCAATCTACAGTTGAAGTAATTACAAATATATATTTCATGCTGGCAAAGCTTAGCAATAGTATATATTTCCATAATGCATCATTCTTTAGTTAAGAACAAGTTACCTATAGAGCTTCAGTTCCATGGACATTTATAACCCTCTGGGGATTTGTTCAGCAAGTTTCTTTATCACATTTTTTTGCAAAAGTTTGAGTTTGAAAAGAGATGCTGATAGCAGATTTTCTTTACAATCCAGTTCATCTTCGGACAAGGTTACACATCCTTTGAAAGTGATTTCTTGCATTTCTTTTAATGACATAGGGGACTTTATTATATGGCTTTCCATTAGTCAAATTGGGATGTCACCTACTCACCAACTTCCATTTATGATGCACCTTCATGTAGGATATCTAAGAGTTTACTGCAAATAAAATGAGCTGTTTCCTACTCTGAACTTGTTCGTTTTGTTCCAAGTAAACAATCCTTTGGGAGTCCAATGTCTGGGTGTAGTAGACCTGAACTAAAGGGAAAAAGGAATATCCTTACTCCCCATTGTAATTTGTTTCCCCCAGAGGAAGCTCTTCTGTACAAACATTACGTACTTTTATATAAAGAGAAGCCACTATCTGAGAGTTTAATGTCTCAGATATTTTAAAACAATATTATTGAAGATGCTGACTGCATGAGGATGTATTTTATGGAATAGAGCTAGACTTCTCAAATTTTCTGATTCTATGTACATAAGTGGCATCAATTTGAGTGCTTACAGATGCTGATCCCCTAAAGAGGATTCCAAAAAGCTGAATAATTTATTCTCAGACTGGTTCATTTAACAATGTTTCACTCTGCTATTAGGGAAGGATACATAAGAGTAGGGATGAACCATTGCCAGTGTGACTCCCCTGATACATGTGAATCCTAATACTCCGTGTATATTCTTCAGTTTAATTAAAATCTAAACTTTCAAAATGGTCCTTGGAAACCCCAGAATGCAGTTAAATCGAGGGCTTGTCCACAGGCAGAATAATCAATGCCAATGGCCTTCATTCATTAACCACAATTACCAGATTTCAAGGCTACAACTGATTTGTCAATGGATCCCCATGGAAAAACATGTTGATGTCATCTCCCACAATCTCAAAATCTTACAGTACCAGAGAAGGTTATATAGTATTTGTTTATCATTCTACCTATAGACTCTACTTGTCTGTCTTGACACATGCAGAAAACCATCGCCATACTTATGAGTATTCAAACTACATAATAAAGGCAATCTACACATAGAAATTTCCGTTACTGAAAACAGAGGGCCCACTGTCAGCCCAGAGGAAGTCGCCCTGCTTATCTAATTCTAGAAAATATTATGGGCAAGTTGGCAAAAATCAACTGAGACTCTAGAGGGTGTGCAGGGATACTGTTGGAGTTTAACCAGCCAGCTAAAATGGCACAACTTGACATTATGAATCCTGTCTGCCAAGTTTCTCACTGTTTATCCAGTTAGGGCTTTGGCTTGGTTAACAGCCAATATTATGGGGGGGGGGGATTCTCGTCCTATACAAAACTACCTACTTTTTCTATGGGACCTTGAACACCCACCTGAATGGGCAGACAAAATTGCTAAGGTTGGTGAAACTGATGGAAGCAAGTGAACGTTGTACCCACTATCGAAAAGCCTGGGCAAACCCAGAACAACAGATCTTTTTGCCCCCCCACCACCCGATTTGGAAAGGTTGCATCCTTTGCAAATGTTTTTTCTAACAGGTTTGCAGCAAGAGAAACGATGAAAATTAGATAATAACGATAATAATAATCATTGCATTTGATATAGTGCCTTATTGAGCGGTTGAGACGGATTGAAGCGCTTCACAGGATATACCATCAACAACAACAAGATTCCATTTGTATAGCGCCTTTCATGTCGGGAGGACGTCCCAAGGCGCTGGACAGTACAGCGTTTCAGACCTGAGCTGGGGGGGGGGGGGGGGGAGGGGAAGGGGGGTGACTGATGGCATGGTCAAAGAGGGTTTTGAGGTGGGACTTGATGGAGGGGGCGAGGCGGAGTGATTGGGGATGGAATTCCAGAGGTTGGGGTCAGAGTGGCTGAAGGCTCTCCTGCCAATGGTGGGGCGGGTGGGTCGGGGGACATGGAGCAGGCCAGAGCCGGCTAAGCGGAGGGAGCGGGCGGGTTGGTAGGGGGTTAGCAGGTCACAGAGGTAGGGTGGGGCAAGGCCATGGAGGGCTTTGTAGGTGAGGACCAGGATCTTGAACTGGATCCTCTGAAGGATAGGGAGCCAATAGAGTCAAGTGAATCGACTGTACACATACACCCCGAGCGAAAACGTCAACTCTCCCCGACGCCAGTATTTAACTCCCCCGAGGCAGATTATTTGTTTTTTTTTAAGAAAAAGGGTAAGATACTATTTTTTGTCAGAAAGCTGTCGAATTCAAGATCCTCATCCTCACCTACAAGGCCATTCACGGCCTCGCTCTCTCCGACCTACCACTACCTGCCCGTACCCCTGCCCCAACCGCCCTACCATCGATGGCCGGGCCTTCAGCCTCTCAGCCCCGAGGCTCTGGAACTCCATCCCCAGTGCCTTCGCCGCTTCATCCCTTTCCTCCTTCAAGGCCGGTCTCAAGACCTTTCTCTTTGACCGAGCCTTCAGCTCCCCTCTCGACTCTCTACCCCCTCCTCGCTCCCTCCCTTCCCTCCCCCTCACCATTTCCCCCCAATGCTCGGGTCCCCACCCAACTGTCCAGCGCCTTGGGACGTCCCCCCGACGTGAAAGGCGCTCTATAAATGCAATCTTGTTGTTGTTGTCCTGCAGCCGACTGCAGTAATGGCCGTCAGTATGGGGGAGGGGGGAGAGCTAATCGTAGTCCTTGCGGTTAACAATAACATCTTGTCAGGCACAGATCACACTCTTAAAGCTGCCCCGAGACCCTCTTACCGTTATTTCCAGAGCACCTCGGCGCCACGAACGGTTTATCAACCGCCCTCCTCTGAACCCGGGTCCCATGGCAACCAGCAACCGCTCCTTCTTCCCCCCCCGAGGAGGGAGGGTGGGAAGACCACTGCCGCGCATGCGTACACCCCGACCGGCGCGGTCCTGCGCACGCGCGCCCCGCGCTCCCTCCGCACAGGCAGGATCCTGCGCATGCGTCCCGGATTTTTTTTTCTCTCTTCTCTCGCTGACCGTTGACCGTTTTTTTTCGAAAAGAAAAACCCCGCGCGGGCGCTTGAATCGTCGAGCGCGAGCCGGTCCCGTGCGACGTCGTGCGTGCGTGCGTGCGTGCGTCCGTGCGCGTATTATAAACGGGCGGCGGCCAGGCTCGCGCGGGCGGCTTTTTTTTCCTCTTCCCCCCTCTCTCTGGCTTCGCGCGCACGGGCGATGACGCGCCTGCGCGTAGCTTGTGACGCGCGTGAGCCGGGGTATTGTATTCCCAGGGTGCAGCGCGCGGCGGCTCAGGCAGTCAGTCAGTCAGACTCGGTTCAAGGCTTCGGTCGGGTCGGGCTTGGGCTTAGGGCTGGGCCGTGCGGCGCGGCACAGCACAGCGCGGCTTCGCTTGGTTTCCCCCACCCCTTCCCTTCAGACGGTGACGGGAACGAACCCCGGACCCCAGCGAGGAAACGACGGAGCACGGGCCGGAGATTACGCGAGTCACCAGAGAGCGGGCGGGCGCTGCTGCTGCTGCTGCTGCTGCTGCTGCGGAGGAGGAGGAATAATATGAGGGTTCCGACCGGCCCTGTTGCTGCAGACGACGACGCCGCCGCCGCCGCCGCTCATCGCAGCTACTTCCTCAGACTCTGCGCCTCTCGTTAGCGGGCCGCCCAGCAGCCCGCCGGCTCTCCCCCCCCCTCCCCCCCCCCATCCCTCCCCTTCTCCCCTCACCCCGTCCCCGCTTCTCCTCCTCCATCGCCGCCGCCGCCGCCGCCACCACAAGCAGCCACACCGCCGCCAAATGACACCCACCCCGCAGCAGATCAAGGACCAGCTGCTCCAGGCCATAGACAAGGATGCCAATGTAAGCTGTGTTCCGCCCCGCCCTTACGCGGTCCCCAGGCGGCTCGGGGGTCTGCCAGTGTGTGTGTGTGTGTGCGTGAGGGAGAGTCAGAGAGAGGGAGAGATAGTGTGTGTGTGTGTGAGAGAGAGTGAGTGTGTGTGTGAGTGAGAGAGAGTGTGTGTGTGTGAGAAGAGTGAGCGCGGCCTAGCTGCGCAGGCTTCAACACCAAGGCCCGACTGTGAGTGAGTGAGCGAGAGCTCAGGGAAACCTCTTGAGAAAGTTGAGTGGGGGGGGGGGGGGGGTGTGTGTGTGTATGTGAGAAAAGCTTCAGTTAAATTGAACCCTCGCCTGGTGCAGGTTTCTGGGGGGTGGCTCCCAGCGTGGGCTGGGGGTGTGGGGGGGGGGGGGTGTTGGGTTGGGGGGTAACCCATGCCAGTCAGGGTCCCAGGTTTTTTTTAAAAAAAGAAAAGCAGGGCTTTTTTTTTTTTGCATCACTCTTTACATGTTTTTTTTTAAAAAAAAGAGAGATCCCGCATCACACGCACCATCGGATGGGTAAAGAATAAAAAAAACCACACACCCTGGCGATCGTGGCCTGGGTTCTGCCAAACAAAAATGAGCCGAAGTGCTGGGAAGATTTTTTTTAAAGAGAAGAGAGAGAGAGAGAGAGGGGGGGGGGGGGGAGAAACACAGTCGTGTTAAAATGGTGACCAACTGTTGCCCTCACTGCATTTCCTCTCTTATTCGTTAAAACACTGGGATGGCTTTGCAAACATTTATAATGATGGGCGAAGTTGATTCGTGATGCTTGCTTAAAAATGTGTCTTGGGGGTCAGACGTGCTGCCAAGTTTTTTTTATTGAAGTTGGGGGATGGATGATGATGATGGGGGGGGGGTGGAGGGGGGTGGTGGTGGTGTGGTGGGGGGGGTGGAGAGATTTCTTCACTGCAGCCCAGATTACACGCTACTCAAAGGGGGAGGTGGGGGGGAGGACTTGTTGTCTTGTCGGTTGTTACATTTGAGCAGTCGAGTTCACATTTGTAGCGTTAAAATAATTGTTTTCAGGGGCTGGGAAACCGTGTACCGTCCTCCAGATCGAACTGGAAAACAGGAAGTGGTTGGTTGGAGTGATGGGAAATTTTTGAGGTGCTGCAGGAGCACCAAAAAGGAAGGCAATAACGTCCAGTGTTTGGAATCTGTTGCGTTTGAGGACGATCAATGCTTTTTTTCTGTCTCAGTTAGAGGTAGATTATGTTTTCATTCACGTACAAATCCAATAAGCACTGAATTGCACAACTCGCACGAACTACATTTATTCGCAGAAGAGTGCTAAACAATATGAGAGACAGTAGAGGAATTCGGCAACTTTCCTCTTGTTAAACATTTATGATATAATTGTATTCTCTACTGTGTTTCAAGGAAAATGTAGCGCCCATCCCAACCTGTGCAGGCTAATCCTAAATTAATTTATGATCCTAACCTGATGTTTGGCAAATGCGATAATCTTGCTTCAACTTATATGCTACTATTTTTATTATTTAATGGTGCACATTCAGTACTCATGAAGTTATGATGAACCTTTATGAAACACTGGTTAGGCGTCAGCTAAGAGTACCGTGTTCAGTTATGGGCAACACATCTTTAGGAAGGATGTCAAGGCATTGGAGAGGGTGCAAAGGAGATTTACAGGATGATGCCAGGAATGAGGGACTTCAGTTATCAGGAGAGGCGAGAGAAGCTAAGATTTTTCTCCTTGGAGCAGAGAAGGTTAAGAGGAGAATTAATAGAAGTTTTCAAAATTTTGAGGGGATTCGATGGGGTGAACAAAAAGAAACTATTTCCACTGGTGGGTCAGTAACCTGAGGACACCTATTTAAAATAGGTGTTAAAAGAAACATATGGGAGGTGAAGAGAAATTTTTTCACACAGTGAGTTGTTTGGTCTGGAATGCATTGCCGGAAAGCGTGGTGGAAGCCGATTCGATAACTTATTTTAAGGGAGAAGTAGATCATTATTTGGGGAGGACAAGTTTGCAGAGCTATGGGGAGAGAGCAGGGGAGAGGGATTAAATTGGACAGTTCTTTTCAAAGAGCCGTCACATAGACGATGGCCGAAAGGTCTCCTTCTGTGCTGTATACTTCTATGTTTTTATCTAGATACAAACAAAATTTTAAACCAGTTTTTAAAGAAAATATTGAGTGTCCGAAGTGTACTTTGTATAGCTTGTGTGGGATTATATGTATATTAATTGGCTGCTTCTTTTCTCATTGTTTGTGGGACAATACTGGTGTAGGTTTGTCAAGTTTCCCTACTTAACATTCACTACACTCAAAAAGTAATTTTTTTAAGCACTTACGACCCTTGACATGATAAGCAGCTATATTAAATGCAATTATTCATTCCAGATCATTATTCCTTTTTCAAATTAGTCATTAAACAAGATTCTATTTCTTCCTGTCTTGTGGTTTAGGTGGATGTAAAGCAATCTCCTGTCACTATATCACAGAAAATTGGGGAATTTCTACTGGTTGCCCTGGCCTGTAACCCTCTTTCATATAACTCACCCCAAAAATGTGATTTGTTGATGCACCAGCAGTATTGGCAACATTCTTTATTTCTAATCGATAATTTTGAAGCCTTTTTTCTTGAAAGGTGATATATAAATGTAATTTGGTGAAAGGAATGCTATCTCAGATGATTATTCCCTGGTCTGAATTACCTCCATAACTCATGTGCTTTATTGCAAGAAAAATTACTTTCCTATATTTGATTTTTGAATATGCTGGAATTTCTTTAGTATATTTTCACTGTTTTGCATTGGTTCAGTATTCCTGTGTAAAGTACGTTAGGAAACCCAATGCTCTTGTTTGGGTTTTGGATGATATTGTAATCTTGACAGTTGCTCTTATGACATGGAATTCTCTTTGCTATTGCAGATTGATGTAATATGGCAAAGACTAAGTTTTGTGTGTGGATAGAAGTGGAAATAATTGCAAATTGTTCTATTCTATGTCATTGCACTCTTCGGAACAAAACTGAAATGGTAGGCTACTGCTTTTGTAGATAGGAGTTTGCTGTAAAAAAATATTTTAATTGGGTTTTTGGTCTGTGGTGGTTAGACTGGACTGTCCCTGCCTACATTGTTTGGCTTGTGTTAACACTTGTCACACTCGTGAGTTCAAAATCTGATATGTTAGAAATGTGCTTATGTTACCATGATAGTTGGGGTAGAACAATGTGATTTTTAACTTGGCATTGTAAATGAGGCAGAGCACTTTTATTTTTACATTTGGCTACCACATTTCACTCACAAAGTACAGTCAATCCACTTTACAATGTATTCTGTGAAGTGCTTTGGGACGTCTCAGTGATGTGATAAGGCCCTATATGAAATGTAAGGATTATTCCTTTACATTGCTACAACTGAAGTGCTGGTGACCACAACAGGCATTGCCTACAGTTATCTGTGTCAGTTTATTGACATGAAATGCCATTATTTGTCTATTGTACTCAATTTTGTTTAATGGCTTGCTCAGCTTTTCTGTCAGTCTTCTGGAGGATACCTGTCTTCCAAGCTCCAGTTCTTCTGAAAATATCTGATCTGTTTTCTGTGCATTAGACGTGCTGCAATATTGTGCAGTTTTTTTGACTGTTCTCAGAAAAAAGCAAATATTTGAGAAGAGGCATTCAAGTCTATTGGTCTTGGATTCTGATAAAAAATTAATATAGATTCTGATTAGACGAGTGAAGTACCTCCACCCCAAGAGCCTGCGGAATTTCCCCTCTGCACCATCATTGGCAGCTAAGTTTAGCCTCTGTTCTCTGGAACTTACCTAAAATCCTTTTACCTCACACTCCTCTCCCCCTCTGCTTTCAGGCTCTTTCTAAAACCTATTAATTCAGTATCTAATATATAATTATTATTATCTTCCTCATATTCCATGTCCCCCACACACAATTTTGCTTGAGTTTCTAATCTACTTTCTGTGAAACATTTCGGGGACGTTATCCCATGTGAAAGGTGCTGATAAAGTGCAAATTTATTAGCATTGCCTATGTGTGTGCACCGAGTGCATGACCCAGAAACACTGTTATTCATAATGAGGGAAGCCTGAAGTGTTAGTTGGCAAGGTTAGTGTTAAAACAGTTGACTGTTTCAGAGTTATGCAGGCTTAGTTTCTGTGCACGTAAAGTCCATTATAGCAATGCTGCAGCTGGTATTGATACTGTTCAGCTCTCCATTGGTCTTAACGTGCTATGGGTGCTGAGGATTCAGTGTATCCTGATGGTGGCTATCTGTGATGTCCGGGGTCTGATGTCACACAACCAGTGTGAACTTACTGAAGGGATATAAGGTGGGACATGAAGGCACCACAAGTCATGCAGGAAAGGAGTGTTTGGTATGTGTTATGCATGATCACCTGTTGCCTGGATCATATTGACCCTTGTGAGCAGGAGCAGGATCTTAATTGTCAGGATTGTTTTGTGGAGGAATGAAGAGGAGCATAGTATGGTCTGGTCCAGGAAGGATCAGCTTTATAATTAAAACTCCTGTTCTCAACATATTTTTGTTTTGTGGCATAGCTCTCATTCACAGGTGAATAGAAGTTTTGTATCTGAGACTTCAACTGGGCTGGTGTGTTCCAAAATAATACCCACATCTGACAAATGTCCTTTTAGATTAAATTTTCATTCGAATATTTTCCTGGGAATTTTTGCATTCTAAAATTTCAGGTGGATAGTACAATTAATTTTCAAGGTGAAAGTTGGTGTTATAATAGAAAAAATCTTGTACAAAATGTTTATTCAGTGACAAACACTGAATCCCTATAGCCCTTCACTCTGAGATGCCGCCCAGCGTAAAGAGCGTTATATAAATGTTGTTGTTGAATGTCTATATGTCACTGAACTACCGGGAAGCTGTATATCGGAATATTCTGAACCCAATACTGCAAATGTAACCAACCATATTCTGTGCCCCCGGTATTTGGCATGTCACTCTTGGGCACCAAATTAGTTAA